TCTCCCATCCTCCTTTTTTTTTTCCTTTTTCCTTTTTCTTTTTCCTTTTTTTTTTCTTTTTTTAAAACCTCCCTGCTGCCAACAGGTGTTATACAAGGAGGGACTGGGGATTGGCACCCCCGTACCTGTAACCCCCGAGATGGAGAGAGTCAAACGCAATCAAGAAAACTTTAGCTCGGTACATTTTTGTAATCTAAGAAAAGAAGTTCCCTGTAACTTCATTTCAGATGAGCTTTTTAACATTTGTACATGTTCTGTGCTTTCTAATTAACCTGCAAACATACAAGCATTCCTCTTCCACTGTTGGATTTTTCAGTAATTTTTTTAGTTATATGGTTATGTTTTAAAGTCTTTATCATAATCATAACACTTAAAACTTCATATCCCCTAATTCCTAAAGTTACTTTCGCTTTTGTAAAGCTTAAATCTTATTGTACATTTTCAAATTAACACCACTTAAAATTTGCTTTACTTCACTCCTCTGGTGCTTTGTTATTCCATTGGGGCATATCTAATAATTGAGTTATAGTATATAAACATCTCATAAGGCCTCCCCTGGATTAATGACCACTGTTAACTGTTTTGTATTTCCTAATTTTTCCTGCTTTCCAGTGGATTTCATAGGCATTATAGTTATATACAAGTTGCCTCTCTAAAATGTTTTTTTTCCCTTCTTAATTTTAACCCTCCCATTTGCTACATAGGTGTTGTACAAAGAGGATGTGGGGACAGGGACCCCAACACCTGTCACTCCTGAGATTGAAAGAGTCAAACGCAATCAAGAACACTTTAGCTCGGTATTTTTTAATTTGACAAGTGCAAATTCCCTTTTTGATCTATTTGAAAATAATTTTAACAGCAAAAAATGTACTCCTGTGTTTCCTTATAATCAACTCAAAAAATATTCCTATTCCCTTTGTTTTGACATTTTTCCTCCATAATTGCTACTTATATCATTCTTCCTCCATTGTTTTGATTATATCATCTTTATAATAACTTCTAGATCTCCCTCCCTTTTGACTCTTTTTAATTTTTTTTATTATTGAATGATATCTATTTTTCCTTGTGCTAATCACATCAGTCCTTGGTTTTGTTTCCTTTTTCATTGTTTTTTTTCTATTTGCTTGTTTTTTGGGTTTTTTTCCCCTAGTTTTAATCCATATGGAAATTTAACTGTAAGTGACCTCATACCAATCTGTGGAAATGCTTTCAGCATAACAATGCTTTAATATATTTCAGTGTAATCTTATGGAATAGATGACAAAAATAGAGCCTATTTGTTGCTTTTGTTATGTATTTGATACCTCCTTCCTTTAGGAATTCTCTAACTATATTTTATTGCACAAAGAAAGTGTGCCAAATTCCTAGCTGGGCTGAACTGGTCTGGATTCAGTGGGAGCCCAGGCTTGCAGGGAATCGAATAGAGCAAAGACAGTGTTTTCCTCAGTGAGAGGAAGCTTTTACAGAAAGTATAAGAACAGTAATAATTGTAATTTGTCAGGTCAATTTGTCATTTTCATACATTCACCTTTATTATGAGCTCATCTGCATGTCCTTTCTGCAATAAACAGGTAGGATTCTGTAATATTAAAGTCTGAACCATAAGCAACATTTTACTCAGGGAATGGATGACTCTCTTAATGAAGGAATATACAGAAAATCTTTCAGGAAGGAGCAGTAGGACTCAGGTAGTGTCAAGAAAAGATCACCCCACTTTTCACTATTGGTGAAAAAATAATCCTATACTTTGTTGTATTTTATGTAACACTTTAATCATAGGAGTAAGCAGTTTTTAATGTGTATCTCCAGGAGCACATAATTATTAACTAGAGAAGATGTTCTAGTGTTTGGGTGGAAGTCATTGCAGTGTCAGTGTTTAATATTATCTTCATAGATCTAGGGATTTTTCCCCTGCTGTTTCTGTTCAGGGCAGCTCTGAAAAAAATCTCTTATGTTCAGTTTGTTCAGTTCAGCAACTGAGAGATACTGCTGTTTCCTGGTTCCTTTATCATTTTTAACATAGCTGCATTGCCCCACAGGTATTATACAAGGAGGGTCTGGGGACAGGGACCCCAACACCGGTCACTCCTGAGATTGAGAGAGTCAAACGCAATCAAGAAAACTTTAGCTCGGTATTGTTTTTACTTGAAAAACACCGATTTCCCCTTTTGATCTATTTGGAAATAATTTTAACACCCTGAAATTACTCTTGCATTTTCTTATAATCAACTCACACAAAGGAATATTCCTATTCCCTTTATTTTGTCATTTTTCCTCCATAATTATTACTTACATCATTCTTGCTCCAGTGTTTTGATTATGTCACCTTTACAATAATAACTTTTAGATTCACCCTCTTTTGACTCTCTTTATAATTTTTTTCTTAGTTTTTAAATAATATCCACTTTTTCCTGTTGTTAATACAATCAGCCCTCTTTTTTTTTTCTTATTCTGATTTTTAGTGTGTAAGAAAACTAAACTATAAATGGACTGATACCAATCTGTGGAAATGCTGTGCTCTAATATGCGCCAATGTAACCTGCTGTGGTATTTATGGAATGGAGAAGCAGAGCCTAATTGTTTCTTCCTCTTGCTTTGTATCTGATAACTCCTTTCTTTAGGAGTTCTTTAGCTATATATTGATGCACAAAGACAGTGTGTTATGTGTAACTTGAGAAGCATTTAGTAAAGTAGAGAAGCTATTCTAGATTTCTTCCAGAAGTTGTTGCAGTGTCCCAGGTTAACTTTATTTGATTTTTCCTTGCTCGGTTGGTTGGTTCAGAGCAGTGGGCGCATTCTGTGCTTCTCAGCAAGCCGAGGGGCACTTTCCTTTGCTTGTTCCTTCTCTAACATCACCGTGTTACCCCACAGGTGTTGTACAAAGAGGATCTGGGGACAGGAACCCCAATACCTGTCACTCCTGAGCTTGAGAGAGTCAAACGCAATCAAGAACACATTAGCTCGGTATTTGTGGAGGACAACAAAATCCTGTTTAACTCCACTTAAATTGAATTTTTTAACCTTTATTAAAAAAAAAAAAAGTGGTCCGGTCCTTACCTTACTCCGGTCCTTACTCCATATAATCAACTTATAAAAACATCCTTTTTTCCTTCACCGTACTCCCCTTCTTCATAAATACCCCTACCTCTTCTTCATGATTATTTATTTAATCCTATATATCTTTAACCATTTTGCTCTGTGTTCTGACTCCCTTTTCCTGTATTTTTTTGAAATCCTATTATTTTCTGTTCTAATGCTGTTATAGAACAGTGGGTCTGAGTTTCCAGCAGGCTGCCATGGTGGTCTCCCATCCAGCATGAAAATATAATATATTTGTTTGCCTTATTCTGACCTTCTAAACAGAACCATAGACCTGTTTGCCTTCAGAACCCAATTGGTGCCATCCCGTCTGCTTTGCTTTTAGCACACAGTAGAGCAGGCTGAGATGCAGGAGACCCAGTACTGTAAGACCCAGGAGACTTCATGTTGGATGTAATTATTACTGAATTCTGATTTTCTTTTACTCTTGATGCTTCCTTGTTACTATGCAGGTGTTGTACAAAGAGAACGTGGGGACTGGCACCCCCATTCCAGTCACTCCAGAGATGGAGAGGGTCAAACACAATCAAGAAATCTGTAGTTCGGTACTTTACCAAGGAAAAAAGTTCCCTTTAACTCTTTAAATGAATATTTTAACAGTTTTTATATATGAATGCTTTAACACTTTTCCAGAATAATGCCCACTGTAGGTCTAAGGCAGCTTAAATAAATGACTCCTCCTTACCCATGTTTTACACGATTTCTTTAACTTTTTGTTGTTTAACTGTCTTTTTGGAAACTTCTTCTAATGCTCTATTCTAATCCTAAAAAGTTTTAACGAACACCCTTAATTTTCTTTCAAATGCTGACTTTTTATTATTATAGACTTCACACTCATAGCATCCTCAAATCTTGTATATTGTTTTCTTTTGTGGTTTTTGTGTATGTAGCACTTACACTATTAAAAGAGTGATCTTATAGTTAAAAGGAAAGCTAAACCTTACATCACTAGTAAAATATTGCTAGGTATTTAAATATATATATATATATATAATACTTAGGCCCTGTGAAATTAAATACAAGAAAAAAATGTCTAAGGCTTCAGATTTGTCTACAACTGCCTTTTAATTTATTCCTGCTCTCTTTGGCTCATTTCTTATGTTCTTAGGTGTTATACAAAGAAAACATAGGGCAAGCAACCCCGACACCTGTCACTCCCGAGATGGAAAGAGTCAAACGCAATCAAGAAATCATTAGCTCGGTATATTGAACAGAAAACCAGGTCTTCAAAGCTGAAGTGTTAAACATAACTGTTCTAATAATCATAATAATCATTTAAAACATAGCAGTTTTTTATAATCTCTTGCTTTCTAACTTCAGAAAACAAAATGACTACCTAGCATAACCCCCTACTTTTTTGTGCTTACACAGAAATTGTAGTATCTTGTATTTTAACACTATTTTCTTAGAGCTGGTTTTGATCTTTTTCTTCAGTAGACATCTTTTCTTTGCACTTTTTTTTTAACTCTTTCTCACTACTATTTTGCAGTAGTATTGAGTCCATTTCTGCATCTTAGTATAACCGTGGCAGTGCCCCTGTTGTTGCACTGGGCCCAAATCTAACCTTTTCTAAATGGCAGAATTCAGAACCTTTCTTGTGTGTGTGTTTTTGGTTTTGCTTTTGGTTTTGGTTCTTGTTTTTTGCTTTTTGTTTTTTTTTTTGGTGGTGATGCCTCGTTAATGATATTTGGATACTCCTTTGTATCCTTTAGGTTTTGTACAAAGAAAATGTGGGGAAAGTGACCCCAACACCAGTCACTCCAGAGATGGAGAGAGTCAAACGGAATCAAGAAATCATTAGCTCGGTATCTTAAAAATAGTTGTTTTCCCCCTCACCTTTAATCCTATGTTTTAATGAAGTAACATTCTAACAAATTACTGAAAAATGATTTCAAAAATAGATACACCTGTTCTTTTTTTTTTTTTTTTTTTGCAAATTAATTTCTCCTCCTCTAAAATATAGCTAGTTTAGGTGTTAACCTCCTGCTCTGGAGATGAAAGCCTGTTCTGCAGCCCCCTTCCTTCAGCGCACGGCTCTATCCAGCTGGGACAGCCAAGCTCCCTGCAGGCCACAACGCAGGTCTGGACCTCCCTGGGCAGAGTTGCAGTTTTCATTGGCTTTTCAGCAAACAGGGTATAGCTTAAAAAAAAAAAAAAAAAGCCCTCAAACACAATCCATCCAAACCAAAGCAGAGGCAGGAGGCCACGTGGATGGGGGCGGATGGTGTCGTGAGGGTGCCATGAGCTGTGCCGGCCTCTCACAGCAGCAGCTCCGGGGCCGTCCCTGGCCCTGCCCTTGGGATGCAGATGCTGAGCAGCAGTTTCTCAGCCTCCTCCTGCCCTGTTTCAAATTATACCTGGGGGGGGGCAGTTTCTCAGCAAGGCAAAACAAGCACTTCTGAAATAGCTCTCCAGGATCACTGGCCACTTCCCAGGGCTTTATGGAGCCTGGTGCCTGTAGCTGGATAGAGCCCTTCTTTGTTAATTGAAAAAAAAATCCTTTTAACAGGCTTTTCTTTTGCAGTTTATTTTTCTTACCCTTCCTTATACCATTAGCCGCTTGCCTTTTGTGCAGTGCTGCATACTGTAATCCCTCATGGTCTTTTTTTGGAACTTGATAACTAAGAAATAATTTATGTTCAAATACTTCTGATATATGTATTTTTAAAGAAACTGGATACATCTTTTGTATCCCACAGGTGTTGTACAAAGAAAACTTGGGGCGAGCAACCCCCACCCCTGTCACTCCAGAGATGGAGAGAGTCAAACGCAATCAAGAACACATTAGCTCGGTATTGTCTGGAGGACATAAAATGGGATTTCATAGAGATATGATAGAGCTTTTTTTCTTTCTTTCCTTCTTTTCTTCTTTCTTTCTTTCTTTCTTTCTTTTTTTTTGAAGAACATCTGCCTTTGTTTTCTTAACCCTTTTATTTTTTTCCCCTGAAATTTAAAAATTCATTATTTTAAATTCTACTACTCAAAGGAATCTTTTACTTTGTTGATAATTAACTTTTTTGATAATTAACTTTTTTAATACTGTTTTTCCTCTGTTTTTTTTCTTTGTTTTCTCTCCTAATGAATGCTGTTTACTCTAAACCCAGTAACACTCGAGCAGTCAGTGTACCTGTTTGTGACTGTGGGTTACTTTGTGGTCTGTAGGTTGTGTACAAGGAAGGCCTAGGGAACGCAACCCCCACTCCGGTCACTCCAACTCCAGAGATGGAGAGAGTCAAACGCAATCAAGAGAACATTAGCTCGGTACTGAAAGAGGAAAGACAACCACCTTATATTAAAAAAAATAATCACTTGGAAAAAACACACCCTTCTAATTTAGCCTTACTTTATCAGTTTCCCTTATTTCTGCTTATTTTTCCTTTTGATTTTTACCTTTTCCTCTAGCAAATAACTTCTCTTTAACTAACTGCTTTGTTTCCAAGATCTTTTCCATCCCTTGCAGTGATGGGTAACAGTAACGCCATGGACAGCGCGAGCTCTGAGCAGGTCCAGCCTTCATCTGTGGACTCTTTTTGTGCACTCCAGGTATTGTACAAAGAACATCTGGCAAAAGGGACTCCAACACCAATGACTCCAGAGATGGAGAGGGCCAAACGCAATCAAGAGAACATTAGCTCGGTACGTCCTGCTGAGCGTTTTGACTCTCTAAAATGTGGATTATCTATCTTCCTTACTCGGTTTGAAATATCTGTGCAAATATTGACATTAGTCCCACATATTAGTTTGAAGTATAAACTCCTTTAACAGTTGCTTTTTAAAATCCTATCGCAGTTGGCTATTCCTGTGTAATTAGTTGCTCTATTTTTTTTAATGGTAAAAAATGAATTTCAAATTGAAAGTAATTTCTGTGATTAGTGGACTATGCGAGTTGTAAAATGTGCATTCTTCAATAACAGTATATTTTCTTTTAGGTGCTGACAATATCCTTCAGTTTATGTAAACAATGCCAAACCTGGAAGCTTCCTCCTTTGACACCAAGTCTTTGCTAACCTTTTGCTCCAGATGTAAAAGTTCTGTCGTGCCCCTTCTTGTCAATGTTCATGTCCATAACATAGTTCATGACTCCCGTGGTTAATGCAAGCTGCATTTGCAAACAAGTGGTTACAGTAGCATTCCAGAGATGCTATTGAGAAGAAAAGCCCTGCAAAACCAGCAAAAATTGTAATAATGTGATGATAACTTTTTGTTTCACACTGATAACTTCACTGAAGTCAGTGAGTTGCATGTCAAATGTATGAAAATTTTACCCCTACTGCATTACTTCGCCCTGCTATTACAAGGCTGAAAAAGTAAAGATCTTTCTTTTAGTTAAGAAAAAGGAAGGTTTGGAATCAAGTCTTATGCAGTCCATGGGTCGTAATTATGAAAAATACTGCTTTACATTCTAACATTATTCACTAACCTTTCTTCCATGGCAGGTTCTTTATTCTGATAGTTTCCGAAAACAAGTACAAGGCAAAGCTGCCTATGTCCTGGATACACCCGAGATGCGGCGCGTACGAGAGACCCAGAAACACATCTCCACAGTAAGAATAGATACATGTATTTTTAACGTACAAAAATGTTGCATAAAAATGTAACCTTAGTCCTGAGACGTGCCAGGAATTTCAGCTCAGAGATGGTGCACGTTCAGCAAGTTTGGATACCCAATTTTTCAAATGAAAAAGGTAAAAGAGACTTTGCAGGAAAGGCATGTTTGGGATGAGGCACTCTCTGCCTCTCATTGTTCCTTGGGTCGGAGGAAGCAGAAGTTGAGAACTGCAGTTCACATCTCTACTAGAAATTCACTTGTGGTAAGCAATAAAAACAACTACTTATCTAAGCTAGGGGTAGAACAGAAATTTCATTTTAATTTTCAGGTGAAATACCATGAAGATTTTGAGAAAAACAAAGGTAGTTTCACGCCTGTAGTTACTGACCCCATTACAGAACGTGTGAAAAAGAACATGCAGGACTTCAGTGACATCAGCTATAGAGGCATTCAAAGACGAGTAGTAGAAATGGAGCGGAAACGTGTGGACCAGGATCACGAGAATCTCACAGGTAAGCAGCAGGCAGGTCTTGTAAGGACTGGAGTCGTTCCCTTACGCAAAACACAAGCTGACCTTGATGCTTTGTCTTAAAGACTTTCAGTTCTGACTCAATATCAATTCAAACTTAGTACCTGGAGATAAACTGAATTAAATGCTGCATCTGTTGCCGAGCAGCAGCCAGCTCTGCAGAGCTGCTCGTGCCCCAGGCTTCCCTCAGAAACGCCTCTTTCTCTTGCAGATCTTCGTGTGTGGCGCACTAATCCTGGCTCCGTCTTCGACTATGACCCAGCAGAAGACAACATCCAGTCCAGAAGCTTACACATGATCTCGGGTTTGTTTCTCAGTTTGTAGCATTAATGGAAAAGAGGAGTTACACATATGTAACGCTCACAGGCTGGGGACACTGAGGCACAGCTCAGCACTCCACCCGGCCTGGACACAGGTGCAGTCCTTGGTGCTGCCTTCACACGCACAGGGATTTCAGAGGTTGCACGGGGACCCAGCTCTTGTGAAAAGTTAATGGAGAGTTGAGGAGAAATTGTCGATAGCTCCTCTGCACCAACATAATTATGTTACCTTTTTTCATAAAAATAGCTGGATATCTAATAAATATAGATATTTCTCAAAAACCATAAAGCTGATTCAACTAATATACAAATTAGCCCTTGACATAGGGCTACCCTGGATTGTTTATATAGTCCATAGATTATGTCGTGATAGAGTTGTTTGCCTCTAATATTAAACATGTTTCCTTTATAAACTAAGGGCACAAATACTGTTCCTCAGTGTCCTCTTTTACTCCTTTCCTGCTAATTGAGAAGAAATCCATCCTAAATGATAGTGAACCCTGTGTTAGACTTGCCTCAGCTCTGGATAAGGGAAGTAAAGAATAATTTTAATAAAAAAAAAATCTGAAATGGCAGGAACAAAAAAAAAGTAAGAAAAAGAAAACATAAATGTAACTATTAACAATGAGGGCATCACAACTGTGTCTTTAAAACTAGAACTTCATTATGGCATCATTAGACTGCTTTTAATATCATTGGAAAATAATGTTGACTAACCAGAAAAATAGACTTCTATGGATTAGGTAGGCGTGCACTGGTGGCAGAGGGCTTTAGGGTTTTGTACAGCAGACACTCCTGTTCATATTGTTACTTGCAAAGTGACTCCATCCGCTCTCCTTGCAGTCCAAGCCCAGCGCCGCAACCGGGAACATTCCCGCTCCGCCAGCGCCTTGAGCCTCAGCGGTGGGGAGGAGAAATCCGAGCCCTCGGACGGGGTGGACCAACATCTCTCCTACTACAGCAACAACGGGGGCTTCTTTACTACAACTGCAACAGGTAGGAGGTGTTTGCTCACATATGATACAGGGGACAAAAAGCAAACTAACAAACAGCCCCACGCACCTATGCAGCCTGCAGAGCAGCGCGTGTCGTTATGTCAGTCCTGGCTCATGGTCCTGGTTTTAGCCATGAAAAAAGCACAAAGGGACAGCTCTAAAATCTTGACATGTGGACATAACCAACCTAAGCAAACTGGAAGGGGGTAGATGTGTTGCAAATAACCCTCTATCCTCCTATCTTTATTCAGCCCATCTCAGACTCTTAACTCTATTGACAGTTTCACAAAATATAAAAGCAGTAAGTAAATAAGTGCACAGTAGAAATTACAGAAAGGATTTCTTTCCTTTTGCAGTGGCCTACAAACACGCTAAAACTATAGAGCTGCCCCAGCAACGCTCGTCGTCAGTTGCCACCCAGCAGACAACGGTCTCCTCGGTGCCTTCGCACCCCTCCACAGCTGGTGTAAGTAACGGGGCTCCAGCAGTGCCCATGAACCCGGTGCCCGTCCAGCCCCCAGGGCTGCCTTTCCCAGCTGCAGGTAGTTGGGTACCAGGTCAAGCCTCGCTCTCCTGCTCCGAGCGTCAGACAGGGCAGCAGCCTCACAGGAAAAAACCCTGCAAACGTTTCGGGAGGTGATGGCTGAGGCCACAGTGAAAAGCAATTTTGTCACCAAGCTACTTAGAAGTGCTGCCAAAGCTAGCAGCAGTGCTACTTCTAGAGTAGTAAACTCAGTCAAAACAGAACTTGTCCCTACTCCTGCTCCCTTACGTTGTGGTTCTGACCAGTTCTGTCAGTCCCTGCTACCAACAGCTTTGGGGTAAACCTGCCTCTGGCTTTTTTTTTTTTTTTTTTTCCCCGGCTCTTCTCCCAAAACGAGCAGAAGACCTACAGGGCCATGTACGACTACATGGCGGCCGACGCAGATGAGGTTTCCTTCAAGGACGGCGACACCATCGTGAACGTGCAGGCCATCGACGAGGGCTGGATGTACGGGACGGTCCAGAGGACGGGCAAGACGGGAATGCTGCCCGCCAACTACGTCGAAGCCCTCTGAAGCCAACGGCGCTGCCCGCAGCCTGTCTGCATGGCAAAAACGGGTTTGCACCGCTCACAAGAGCGGGTTTTGGCAGAAATAACTACTACCTGGTCTGCTCCGTGCGCCTCAGTGTTTTTCCATGCTGACAGTGCTTTATGAACCATCCTCATGGGAGAGGTGGTGAAGGACAGAATAAAAAGAACCCTTCCCAACATCCTACAGTAACTGCAGAATCCCATACTCTTAAAACTGTCTTTCTAAAACATTTTTGAAAACAGCCTCTAGAAACGCTCCTCATTCTTACTCCTGGGAGAATTGTAATTCTTTTTTCCTTGTCCGAAATATTTTCACAGGACCTGGACTTGCATATAAAATATTTATGGCCTGAATTACCACCTTCTTGTTCAGCTATGCTGGAATTGCAGTCCAGGTGAATATCATAAAACTTCTATTTAACATTACCCACTGTTACTTTCTCATGAAGAGAAATAGTGCATTGCTGAGCTATTCTAAAATGGCTAAATGCATTTTTTTCTTTTCTATGTAAGCAATATTTAAGTTGATTATCTCAAAATAGACAATATTTATCTGGGGAAAAAAAAGTAAAATAAAAAGAGTCCACAGCCAGAGCCTCTCCTCTGCTTGCTGAGTACTCATGCATGTGTTTTTTATCCACGTGTTCTGAGGTCAAAAGCTGTTACTTCTTGTAAATTAGTGAGTAAATAAAGCTAATGTTTCTGCAGCATCTTGAATGTATTAACTCCTGTTCAAGCGCAGGAAACAGTTGCACAGGGGCTTTGTCCAGAAAACTTTGAATTGAAAATGGGAAAAAGCCACAAAATGGTAGAGAGGAGGGGGCAAGAGCCCCAGCAGCAGAAGTCAGAGGCTGAGGAGCTCTGAATAAACACAGAGGAAGCTCCTGCTGGCCCAAGGTCCCTTCCCCTCCTGCACATCCAGCACAACCCCCTCACCCAACACCTGCAGGTACCTGAAAGCTTAAATGAAAGGAAGAAATACTGACATTAACAAGTTAGGGAGCTCTTTATTCTTTTAGGGAACTATTTACTCTTTTATTTGCACATGTATAAGTTCTAAAAACAGCTGCAGCAATTCCTTTCAATAAATGTGTATTTTGATAGCTACAGTACAATATATACAAATTAGTTTTCCCCAATAAAATCAAGATCTCTCTCTGAAGGTCTCTGAGAAGCAGCAATGCATTCCATGCAATTAAAATTTAATGTCATAAATTATTAACCAACATTTGCAATTGTAAGTCTGTACATAATATACAAAGAGCTCATGTCAAATCCATTTTCCCCATAGGAAAAACGTCTTCTCCCCAGGAGGAGAACACTGCTGCAAACAAAACTGTTAGGACACGGGAAAGAGCCTGAGGAATTGTGTGCCTGTAAGGGTCCCCCCTTTACCATCAGCTTCTTAGTGTGACTCTTACTCATAAAATGCACGCAAAAAAGATGCTGCCCAGCTGTCAAATACCAGGTGCTCCAAGGGCTGCCATGGTAAGGCAGGAAGCACCGCTCAGCGCAATAAAAAACGGGACGTGCAGCAGCAGGACAGGGGGAGAGCAGGGGAGCTGCAGCTCCCATCTAACCACGGAGGTCGGAGGCTGCAGCAGTAAGAACACTTAGGATTTGAAAAAAATAATTTAACTACTCTGTTGGTTTGGTTTCACAGTCTTTGCTATTGCACCCCTAAGTTTTCTTTCACCACCTGAAAGAAATATGCATAGCAATAAGATACAAATACCTCTAAGATGGAATAAGTAATCCCACAAAACAACAAACACATGATACATTTGCTCATATAGTTCTTAAAAAAATTTCTATAGTACAAATGCACAGCTCATGGAGCAATTCAAATATGAAAAGCAGGTTTTCAGGAAAAAAATCAACAGTGTAACAAAGTCCCCCTTGCCTAGAAATTATCAACAGCTACTCAAAACTTTCATGGGGTGGCGATTTCCAGCGAGCCTGCAGGTTTTTCATGATACAGTTTGTCATGGCCACGAGCTTCTCGTGCATCTCGAAGAGTTGGCTTCCCGGGTAGCTGTGGAGATCGGCGGCGCCCAGCTGAGCCGCGAGCGCCTCCACCTGCCGCGGGAGATCCGCTGCGCCGGGGCCCTTCGCGCTCAGCACAACCGGGTCCATCAGATCTGGGAAGCAGAGCAAGGAGGACAGTGCAACAGGTCAGGGCGGCTTCCCACGGGAGCCGCTGCTGGAAGGTTACAGGGTTCTCCCATGCACGACCACGTGCTGGAGCTGTGGACGCACCGCGAGGGCGCGTCTGACACAGGCACCTCCGCACCGAGGCTCCCCTTCCCCACGAGGGACCTGCACCGCGCTGGGTCCTGCGGCACGACCACGATCGAGGACAACAAAGTGGTGGATCCCCTTCAGACACCGGCACCACCACCCGTCAGCCCGGCTTAGGCTTCTTGCTCAACAATTACCTGTTGCAAGTTTTTCTTCATCCACAGAAAATGATTTATCCTCCACGTTGTTCACTGGCTTTTCGGTGTCTTCAAGTGCTGCTATTTCCTCAAACCCTCGAGACTTCACCTGAAGGTTTATTTGGCAGGGAGCAAGAGAGACATTTTAAGCAGACAAAAAAAAACCCCCCAAACCACACTGAAACTGCACGGTGGGTCACATTTAAACTCTTAATACAGTCCTTATGTCCCACTAGTAATACTGGCATTCAAGGTACAGATCACTTAATTACAAGGTTACTTTGACAGATGATATTTTGATCAAAAAGTTAAATATTTTACTGCTGACAGATACAGCAGTTACCAGGCCATCACGTTGGGTTTTTGAGGCCTAACACTGAACTTTACCTGTTGCTCGTGATATCCTTTTAGAGCTTTTCTAACATTGGAAACTTTAGGAGAGCGGATAGGAAGAGTTTTGATTTCCGATGCCGTCAGAGTACTCAGATCACCCACAGTCTTAATATTCTTCGCTCGAATGAGCTGCCCCAAACCTCTTGCACTGCAGAAGAGGGGGAAAAAAATTATGTTATCAAAAGTTATCCTGTTTATTGTGCTAGAATCCATGTCCCTTCTCCCAGGGATGAGGGGGCCAGAAGAGGTCTTACATGAATTAACATACAGACCAATTAATACACAGACAAATGAGGGGAACGCCGCAAGGGCAATGACGTTCTTCTCTGTGCAGAGGCACGTCCTGCTCCACTCGCCCTGCATCCCAAGGACAGTGCCCTGAAACTCCGACACGGCTGATGAGACAGAGCTGAACGCGCCAAGGCCGCCACCTCCAACAGCCCCGCTGGAAAGCTGCAGTTTGGCTCCACATTCGTTATCAGGATTCTAAATTTGTTAGCAGAAACCAGTTAACTGCTCGTGCTGGGGGTGCTGCAGGGAACGGGATGCTCAGGGAAGGTGCGTCCCGAGCGTGTGTACGGTCAGGCACGTGTTGATGCTCAGCAGTACCCAGCACAGCTTCACACAACCCTTTGTGAATCCGAAAGAGCCGTTTTCTGAGCATCCTTCCACCTGCGCAGAGCTCCC